GGTTCAGATTATGCCGGACAGGACGTTTGAGCTAATTAGCGAAATCTAGATGTTCAAGCTGGAAACTATGGAGGCCCGGCTTTCTATCTCGTATCTATCTATCTTCTTTCTTTCTCAGTTATGTTTTTTTCTTTTGTTAAGGTAGTCAATGCTTTTGGAACAAAGTAACTTTCTTTTTACTAACCAATGGCTGACATTATTTGTCTGCTAAACTTCTCTGATACGTTCTGATACGTATCGATTACGAGAATCGATTTGAGGAGCGTTGCATAGCAAAGCTTTAGTTAACATTTGACGTGAGTTGTCAGGTGTTCACAGTAGCCAGGGGCGCTGAGGAAACAATCGTCTGTTCTTTTCTCAGCTAGATTAGCTATGTGCTGCGCGTGGCTTGCAATCTTTTCTAAGTCGGCCTCTCGCTTGTATGTCCGCCACCTAGTAGCAGCATCTACCGATTATCTTTTGTACAGATGTTTCGATCGAGCGGACAGTTTTATTATTTCTTTTTTGGATATGTTGAGTCGAGCTTGCTACTCGTTGGTAGGATGGTGGCTATCTGTTCGGCACGTGCAAGCGGCTCCTTAGTTAGTTGTTGGCTCGTCCACTATCAGAAGTCAGAGTGCAAATAAAGGGGTCCCATTTTTAATATTCTTACGATTTTCTTTGCATTGTTTTTGCATGAGAGTGTAATTCAACATGCCACTTTAACAGGGAAACTCAAACTCAAACTTTCGTGAATTCATCACCTGGTCGCTCTGCAGTGTCGGTGGCCTGGATCCCCCTGCGCACGGGGATGGCGCGAGAGAAGCCTGGACAGCATCAAGGTAGCCGGCACGAGATGCTCTATTATTCTTTACACGAAGTGACTACAGGAGACGACGCGATGGCCTTGGCACCTATGTACAAGCCCCGCAGAAGAGTGGCGTTGTAGGAAGCCGATGGTATTGCTCCAAATGACGCGAGTAATCGAACTTGTAGACTACTGTAAGGATTTGTAGTATAGGGTACACCAGAGAAGGGACTCGAATTAGGCGTAGTTATTTATTTGGTGCTTGTTTTATTATGGGTGAAGCTGTAGCCGGGACAAGGAAGCCCACGACCTTTGGGCTGAGAAAGGATGGACCGACATCAGGCCCTCCGTGAAACCGCTTACGGCAACTCCACTCTTTTTCCATGGGTTAGAAACCGTGATGCATCGGGAGCAGAGGCCATGCTGCTGCCAAGATCAGGTATTAACCAGGGTCAACCGTCCGTTGGACAAAGTCCAACGCGACGACGAGAGTAATGCCGAGAGTGAACGTACGCACGGAGACACAGACGGCTCGCGGGTGGCGAGAGTGAATGCCGGCGCGGAGAGCGGTGAACATCGGTCCAACGTCGCTCCAATATCGGTCCAACGTAACGGTTGACCCTGCTTTGAACCTTCTTTAACCCCCATCATCCTCTTTTTGATTGTCCTCTCAATTCTCTTTCCCTTTAGTCTCCCTGTACAGAGAAATCGATGAACAGACAAAAGTCCTTTAATCATTTGACTAGTTATTTATTTGTGATATGCATACAAAAGGAGACTGAAAAATAACAATTTCTTTTCTTATCTCAGATATACATAAATTTCACATTTTGTGAAGAATAACGACTACACAACGAAATACTTCATCAACCGTACAAAAGCAAAAGTTCATTACCCGCAAAAGGTTACCATTCCATACAACTGTTTGATATGATTAAAGCGCTTCTGTGAGATCGATATCCCAGTGAAAATAACAAATTGCACCATTGCTGAACGAAGATGAAGCCTCGCGGTGTGCAGATGTGAAGCGGTGTCAATGTTCAGGTAAGCTAGCAAAGAAGCCAGATCAGGCAACTGCTAAACATTTACCTCAAATAATGAAGAGACCTTTGATGAAATGGATGAGAGCCTTTCATCGTGGTTCCAGTGCCTGACTAAGTATAATACAGACCCGCCCATCAAGGTACGCGCCGTTTACTACACGTGCCGCGATTTAGCGACCGTGAACACCTAAGGTAATTACTTACATCCGGGCCATGATAAACTGGTTTTTGCTTTGGGGGTCGACAGTTAGCCATCTCGCCAGGCCGGTTATCAAGAGACAGACAGACAAAAAATCCTACGTTATTCCTAGCCCAAGGTAAGGGCTTCAACACTAACGGCGAGAGAATTTTGCTGTGAAGCGCTATTGTACGGGGGTATTCGCTTTATGATTTGACACTGTGTTTGCAGTCACCATGCTGGGCACGCGCGGACCGTTTTGGCGTGCGCTTGCAATGAAGCATGTGCTCCGATAATTCGTTACTATTAGGGTGGTAAAAAAGTCCTGAGCCGTTTGACACTTTTTTGTTCTTTGCTTTTTTATTCCGCGTACAATGGAATCTACTAAACAATATAATCACCATTGTTACTCACTACAGAGTCCCACCTAATGGTAGGTCAGCGACCCCCTCTCTAGAACTGAGCAGACTGAGAGTCAAAGAAATCATTGACGATCCTTGACGTCTTAACTGTTGTGATTTTTTCTTCGCTAGGAATGCCTGAAGGGGATGAAATAAGTGATAATCAGAGAGGGCAATGTCAGGGGAATAGGGTGGGTGGGGAACCGCGTCCCAGATCAGCTCTTCCAATTTTGCACGGGTCTCTTTAGCTATGTGGGGCCTGGCGTCATCGTGGAGTAGGTGGACAGAAGTTCGTCTCGGTCTTTTTTCTTGAGCTGTACTGGGGAATGGGCCAAGTAGGTATCTTTGGCGGGAGATATCTAATTACAGCATTCTTCACGGAATAATAGAGTGTAGCAGAAAAAAGATGCTTTATAGGGTGGAGTACGATTATTGCTCGTCGGCGATATTCTCTCGATGGCACACTGCGGACATGGCTGTTGAGAATCGCTAGAGATCCCACTTCACTCCGTTTATGACCTTCAAGAACGCTTTTCGGTACGGATAAGAAGGAGAGCTGAGAAAAGTATCGCATTTGAACGGTGCCATAGCGGTCAAGCCATGAGGAATCCTCGAGTCAGCATTTTCCTGTGACGAGGGCGTGGAGGGGACCGAGGACTGTGGGATGGGTGCACCCGAGTCTTATCACAAGGCTGCGGGTGCTAACGTCCGGATCCTCTTCGACAGCGCCGAGAACGGTGGAGTCTTTCCACTGTTTGGGGGCTTCCCAACCTTTCTTGTTTTCGGAAGCCGTGTCTCCTCCTTCGAAGCCTGCGAACCAGAGCTGGCACATGATGGAAGTGGTGACTTCGATGCTGATAATGTTGACGGTTCCCACTGCTCCTGTGCCGCAGCGCCATTCATTGAAGATGATCGCTCGAAAGTGCTCTTGTGGAATCGACATCATGATTAAAGTTAAAGAAGGCAACCCGGCAATATACAGGGGGGGCCAATAAAAAAAAGACATTTTGTCTCCACTTCCAGATGGATTTAAGAACATTTTGCTCAATTCAGACCGAATGGTCTCAACTTATTATTAAAGAGCGCATTCCATTCTATAAGAAAATCTTCATGGTGGCCACCTACGTGGACGGCATCAGAAGAATTTGCCCTGGAAACATGGTGCACTGGTCGATCTCAATGGGGTCTTCGAAGGATCGTGTACCATAACGACCCTTACTGGAAAGCTAGTTCCGAGGGGATTTGCACAGTGGTAGCTAATGCCTCTAGAAAACTATCCAACATTAAATCGATTCACGAAATTGCGTAAGAGCTTCAGGCTGAAGCTCTTACGGTAGACCTCCTTGAGCCTGACGACGGTGACAGATGACGTCATATTCTGAAGACGGTGAGGGCAGTGAAGGAGAGGCCTGTGTTCACTTATAGGAACACTTAGGGAATACTCTGCTGAGGAACTCCCGTCAACGACAGCAATCTCTGCGAAGAAAAAAGAGCCGAAGTCCGACATAGGCAAAATGTCTTTTTTTTTGGCCCCCCCTGTATATAGACGGAAAGATAAATCGACAGCTGAGGAAGTCTATCATTCGTAGCAGATTCTAGGTATCGATCGATAAGCGAAAATTCTGGAGCTTTCGAAAAATCGGCTCAGGACTTTCTTACCATCCCAAGTAATTTAATTCAAGGTAACTTGACAATGAAGGGTGAAGTGTTTTAGATTACTTTTTTTTCAAATTCTCGCCCAAGCAGATCATTTGGAAGGCTGCCCACCTTTTCTTTCAGACGTAAACAAAAAGATCCGGCTTCAATCGAAATTCTGATGAATCTTTCCGTGATACTTCCACAGAACGTGCTCGCACACTTCTCTGATTTTTGGAAAGTGAGAAGGTGAGAAAAGAAAAGTTGATTGAGAGATAAAGAACGTACAGTTGTCCACTGGACATGGCATGCTAGAGAGATCATTCATTAGTTGCTGAACTGGGCGCTCCTAAAATATGTAAAAACAATGTATTCCGAACGAGAAATTTTCGAGACCAGAACATGATACTCGTATTGATACGTGAGAATTTTGAATTGCTTAGACTTAACACTTAAGCACTTAACTGATGATAGGGGTTATACAGGGATTCGAAGGAAGGAACTTCTCTGCGTTTCGGAGAACGCTCACTTTCATTCGCATCTTTTCTCATTTCTGTCATCCAGTTTTTCGCGGTTCGATGATGTCGTCTCTTTAGCCAGAAATGCGTTTATAACATTTGGATAACGGTGTAACGTCTTGTAACTAATTTGCAAATACACGACTACGAAAAGGAACCTTGGAAATAATCTGGCGGCATTTTAAAGTGAGTCTTGATAGCGAGAGTTAAGAGTCGCGATGTTCAACTTGAAGAATGGTTATTTCTTCGAACATTCGTCACCTTTCTCAGTACCCTGATATTTCTCGAATCCAGGTTCGTTGAAGTATGGCTCTTTCACGAAAATGAGCCCCTAAAACGCTTTATTAAGAAAATCAGTTCCAGTGATTAGTTGTCAAGGTTCCAACCTGGATGCTAATCAGCACTTGCATCAGGGAGCAGTATGAGTTCCATTTTTCTTCAGGTCGTCCTTCCCAAGTACCGAGTATTGACAGACAGATTTTCCATCATTGTAAAGATGGGATTAAATCTGACATTGCCCGCACCAGTCGTCAGAAAGGCACATTTCGGAGGAGCGTAAGGATAGCTTAAAAGTCAGCATATTCAAACGAATCGGCACTTTTGAAAGGAAGCGACTTCACCAATCAAGGGAAAATTCGGAAAAGAGTTTTCGAAGAAATACTTAGCCGCTCTGAAAAGGAATTCCGGAGGGCTATTTTGAATAGAACTCGAGAATGACATAAAGGTCGACCTAGAGCAAATCTCCCGTGAGTGCTCATGTATGGCAATATTTTTACACGTAAAACCTGTAGCGAAGAGAAGACGGTCTATGTAGAAATTTTAGTGACAATGAAGGCGTACGGTCCGTCTCGGAACTTCTTCAGCAACATCCAGGGCCGTATGCTATCCTTCAGGAAGCTAGGTGACCCAAAATTTCTTTCAAATTTGTTTGCTTTGAACTGGGATGTGAAGTGATGTAGTTTTTTCATTTTCCAATGCATGTTTACTTTTACCTACATGCATACATTTAATGTAGGCCTTTTATCAGGGTAATCAGTTGGGAAGACAGAGAAAATTTAAAGGAATTTCCGTCCCTAATCCCCTTCGGGGAGGATAGCATACGGCCCTAGAAGTGCTTCCGGACTATAATCAAACGATCCACGCCAGCTTTTGATTGCTAGATTCGTATATGTAAGTTTTCATTGATGGAAAGTTATTAAAGGATCTTCCGCGGAAAAAGCTCCGCCTCCATTACCACAGAAAAACGATACCCCTAGGCCCCTAGCCTCATGAGCATAGCAAAAAGAACGGAACATAAGCGTTAGTTTCGATAATACTAATCCTACACACAAGACAAAATGATCACTCTTTCCGTGGAAGATTCCTTTAAGGTATCGTTTTCTGTGGTAATGAGGGCGGAGCTTTTTCCGTGGAAGATTCCTTTAACAGAAATGGCTTTGAACAGTAGGACGGGGATGCACCCTTCTGATCGTACTGTTAGAGATCGATTTAAGAGGGTTTTCAGCACGGAACTCGAATTCTACACACAACAAGTCGGTCCCGTTACAACTGAGCCTTGTTTGTGCTTCGGAGTATGTTGGAGAACTATGAAGGAGATCAAGAGGATTTGTAACATGTGGAGCGTTGGAGGAAGTCTTCGTATACAAGAACATTGTATATTGGCAAAATTAAATTTTTGAAGTTAGATTAAGTCTGCCCTACATCATTTTGCTGTTGGTTCTTGAGTCGATAACTAAATCTCGATAAATACGAACGATTCGAATGACAGACAACCCTCTAAGATAAGGTTTCTTGTGGAGAGGTGGTTTTGGTGCTAGTACTGGGTGGAGATACTTTGTGAAGTTCAAAAGTAATCATTTTGGAGGTATCCTACCACAGAGTGCAGTGAGGACAGAACGAGAAAGTTAAGCACTGAAAAATGAGGAATTGTCCTTTTGAACGACTAAGATAAATGAGCGACGGTTAATGTGTGACTCTTACTGTACTAAACATGGTAGAATGCATACGTTGATGGGAAGATACATCGAACTCGAACAGGCCTTTGGTCGTAGTAGTATAATCTGGGACTAAACGTTATCGTGTACGAAAACTAGGTAAGCGACACATACCTTAATGATATCGCACCTTCCTTCGTCAACGCAAATAAAAATACTGTTACTTGCATTCAGGGGAAGAGCGTTAGGCATCGACGCCAACTCCTTTGCGATCCGCTTTGTTCTTTCACGCAATGACGGGGAAAAGGGATTAGTGTTCCGAATATCCTTTTTGAAGGTGAAAGGAATCACAAGTTTTCCATAATCTCCAATGAATCTGCAATAAAAATACTCTGCCATTCACATACTATCCTATCAAAAACAACATGTACGAATTCATGGCGACGTGTGGAAGTCACGCAAATTCGCCTTTTTTTGCTGGATGAACCGTTTTTGCTTTCAGGAAATATCAACCTCAAGGCAGATTCTGCGACAAATTAAATGCTTATGAAGAGTAAACTGTCTACTATAGCGGGAGGCTATGCTCACAAGGAATGAAAACGTCGTACTTCTGTGGCTAACCCGTGCTAGCCACCGCTTCGGAAGGTCGTGCTCGATGTGATCCTGCTATGACCAGCAACCCCTTCTCGTTTTAGATAGAATATTTCATATTGAGCGGGCGTATCTTATAAGTTGTCTATGCAGTGCGTTGAAGAAGAGTTAAGTGTCAGTGTAAAAGCATGATGTTTGGCTAAGGTCCGATGTCAGACTTTGCGAATCGAGCGATTCGCTACTAGCGATTCGCTAGCGTCCGCGGTCGCGTTGCGGTACCAGCCAATCGAGCGATTCGCTGGCCACGGACGCTGGCGTTTCGCAGAGTTTGACATCAGCTCGAAGGAACACTGCTTGATTAATAGCTCCTCCGAAGCGGAATTTAGCGTCTACAACGCAGTCGCATTTTGTGCGTTCGAGATCGTTTTTCGTGTTTTTTTCAGCACTGCATCACTATCTATCAAGTTGTCCCATGAGTAGTGTCGTCTTCTTCCGAAAAAATTCTACTGAACCCTTCTTCCTTCCTTAACCATTCACCACTCAACCATTCTAAAAGTTTTTATATTAGCTTACAAATCAGTCGAAAGGGGATTGTCTGCACTACAAAGTACTTGTTTTGCCTCCTCATTTTTCGACAGAGTTTCCAGGTTTAGGCCCCCAAATGTGAGGTGCAGCCGACGAAAATTAGCCCAAACAACATTCTGCTCTAACTATAACTTTGCTCTAACTATTTCCCTTCGGAGAAATCAATCAATGATGTACCCCCTACTTACTCATGACCTCTTCTGAACAGTTCCACTGTTAGGTTGTCGGAAAAGCTTTGCCGTACTTCTTTTCGAATTTGGTTTTTCTGGTTGACCAAGTCATGGCGATTATTAGACTAAAATTCTCAAATTCATATCAGCTGGGCGGAGCTCCACCCTCCCGATATGTGTTTTGTAAAACTTGCGATGTGCCACCCCTACAAACTTGACCCGGGTGCAGGTGGATCTTCATGTGGTGATCTTCATGTGGTACCGAATTTTGCGACAGACAGACCAAATAGAGACACACAGACTTTGTGCATTATATATGGTAAGACTATCAGCCTCTTCCCTTTATATCAGAAATGCCCAACGAAGTATGCTATTAGCGATTTGCAGGCGAGTATCAGGTGGCAGACCATATGGACTGCCACCGTCCCGCGAACACACACATCCCTGGCACACCATATGAGCTGCCACCAACAAAAATGTGTTAAGGAGCATTATATGCTAAGCTATAAAGTCAAATGTCAGACTAAGTGAATCGCCACCTTTTCAAAGCACGCACTACTTACTTATGGGATCGCACTTGAAGATGTTTAAGTGCCTTTCGGTAAAGCACGGCAACTTCAGCAGCTGTGGGTTTCCTTTCTTCCATGGAGTCCAATGTACTCCATGTTAATGAAACTTCGTCATGGGTTTCACGTGATTGCACTACAGGAGTACGAATCCGTTCATCTGGAGGCAGACTTGCTTCGTATTCGTGTGAAGCTTCCAAAATCGCCTTAAAACAGCCAGTATGAGAAGAAAATTCGTTGGAATAAACATATGAACCAGTGCAAATAATAAAAAAATAAGAAGGATCAGTCCTTTCCTTCGTGTAAATTTCCAACTTTGCAATGAAGTTGACCATTCTGACATCAGGAGAACCCATCTGACATTTCCAAGAAGACGTGTAGGCGAACATAATGTCGCTAAACGGTACTAGAAGCTCCTTTGCTATTGATTTAGCTCCATTAGCGTGAGGCTTTACAAGATAAGGAACAAGTGCTGGAATGCTAGCCATCGATGCAGCAGTCTCCAGCAAGGGCCTGAAAATTCCACTCTTACATAGTTCATCGGTTCATTATTTTTGACAAAAGAATGCATTATATTAAGATTAACTGGTCGCAACCAGGCCTACTGACGGGTAATGGAAAAGATCTACTGTGCGGCTCACTGTGCAGCCCAAGCTACGCCGCGGCGACGGTTGTCCGGGCGCGCGCTGAACCCTGGCCTCTTTTCGCGTCACGCCAGTTACGCCAGGCGCGCACGGCTCTGAAAGCGTGCGCCGAACAGTAGTTCGCCAGCGGTCGCCACGATCGGTTGAGGCGTACCTCCTCTCCGGAGGCTACGGGCCAATGCACCAGGAGAAGTAGACCTTAAAGCCGACTTTATGGGTATCATGCTGGAACCGCTCGAGCGCGCCTCACGGTAGTCGCCTTGTGGCAGCATCAGGTTCAGAAACAAGCGTCCCAATTAGGTTTTGTTCCGTCACGGGGCCGAAGATGTGGTCGGGCGGTGGTAGGGAGCACTGCGACATCGGAAGGAAGAGGCGAGCGCATAGGATTGACCGCAGTGGCCTCTGAACGAGATCAGTCCGCGCGCAGCAGACGTGATGAGTAGGACGTCGAGTATGTAGGTAACGGGCTCAATATATGGGGGGAGTACCGAATTTTGTTGTTTCTCATATGCTGGAAACTAAAGTGGTGCTCCGCGTCAGAGTGCGAAGAACGCCGATCTGTGGGCTTATATCCAGGCATCTAATGTTACTCTGGCTTTATTTGTTGTATTGATGGATTCGAGATAGTGGCCGTGTCCGTGGGACGAAAAAGGCGACGGACCCCGGAAACACCGCGCAGGACAGGCACCCTCTAGGTGGGTGAGGGAAGTTATCGGAACCACTCATCGCACTGGGACGAATCCTGGCGAGGGCGGTCTCGAGAAGAAGGATGCCCTGCTCCCAAAGAGAAATACCGTGCCAAGAACAGATGCAAATTGTTTGTTGGGTACGGGTAATGTGCCATTGATGGTAGGATGTGGGCCACCCAAAGGGCAAAATGTGGCTTCGTAAGGCGAAGAACGAAAGCCTGTGGGGCCTGATCAGCCTACCCTTTCCCTTGTAGACTCCTCGGTCTATCTTGTCCCCGACCCCCCCGTCTCTCGATCTTTCCTCAACCTTACATCCGATGTCTCCCAGTGCGACAGCGAAAATAAGCATTTGACTTACTAAGCGCTAGACCCGCGACTGAGAGGACGGGTGTCTCACTTACTATATAACATACCTGTCTATCCTTTGCCTTCATTTTACGGATCAGAAATTCAATAAAGGTGGTGAAAAGGGGTCACCCGCAAACATCTTCTCACCTGGTAGAGCTCCATGTGTTCGCTGACGTCAAAGACGCTATCATTTTTCAAATGATATTCCAAGAGCACGATTACAGCTGAGTCTGCTATCTCGCGCACAACAGCATCAGAAATATATGAATACTGGCTAGGCAGACGTTTCTTGGTGAAATCTGGGGAGGAGCAGTACAAGAAAGCGTTCAATGCATTCAGAAGCCATGTAAGATGTTCCTCTCGTGCTAAGCGTTCCTCGACCTAGAGTTGGGATTGTTTCAATGAAAACACCGCTTTAAGCTTTTTCAACATACCGTACGTTCTATATCCCATCTAGATCTGGTTGAGCCATGACCATAACCCACCCCACGATTGACAACGCCGGAATTCGAATTTTGCCTTGCTAAGCGACGTTTGCGTTCTCCCGAACCAGTTCTATGTGGAGAGCTTAAACTGCATTGATAGTGATAGAAAAAATTTTTGGACTAAAAGTTATTCAGACCAACCTGTTATTTGAAGAAACGCTACCATTCTCTGCAATCAATTCACATATAGAATGGATGATGCCACATTCAAAAAGCATGAGTTTTTCCTCTGCCGACGAGTCATTGATAAACCTGACAATAAAATAGTTGCACCTTTTGAGTGCGCATAACCTAATACCTGTAATTTGCGGCGCTATCGTAATATACGGGGGCATCCTTTAAGACTAAGCCTGATAGGGGCAGAAGCTCTGGGGAAAAATGAAATGGCTCACGCAAATTAGAGTCTCTCCGCCCCCGCATAAGGCATAGCACAAAAAAAGTTGTTTTACCTGGTTTCAAATGTAATTTCAAATGTAATACACTGCCATCATTGTGCCCCCTACATTGCGATAGCCCCTAATTTGCTAAATAACGTCTGAAAAAGTTTCCGCCGTTTTCCCATGCTGAAGCCTCAGGACTTCCATCGTCTCGGGTCTGAAGCCCTCTCGAACCAGAGATTTGCTACCAGTAACGTCGATAGCGCGCCAACAGCGCCGCAAGGAGGGCCATGCTAGGTCGCTGAGAGTATATCCTTAGCCGCAAACGTGTTGGTCCACACCCTCAGGGGGGTCCGCCTGTCTTTCCACTTGGTAAGTTTCTGCTTCTTCGACCCTCGACAATATCGTGAAATTCTCCTTTAAAAAGAGATGTTCTGCGCGAGCTATATCAATGTAGAAATCGGTGTCCTTTCAGACGAGTATGATAATGCTGTC